AACATATCTCAAAATAATAAAAGCTATTTATGACAAACCCACAGCCAATATCATACTGAATGGGCAAAAACTAGAAGCATTCTCTTTGAAAACTGTCACTAGACAAGAGTGCCCTCTCTCACCATTCTTATTCAACACAGTATTGGAAGTTCTAGCCAGAGCAACCAGGCATTTAAAGGAAATAAAGGGTATTCAATTAGGAAAGAAGGAAGTCAAATTGTCTCTATTTGCAGATGACATGATTGTATATTTAGAAGGCCCCATCGTCTCAGCCCAAACTCTCCTTAAGGTGCTAAGCAACTTCAGCAAAGTCTCAGGATACAAAATCAATGTGCAGAAATCACAAGCATTCCTATACACCAATAACAGACTGAGAGAGAGCCAAATCATGAGGGAACTCCCATTCACAGTTGCTACAAAGAGAATAAAATACCTGGGAATACAACTAACAAAGAATTTGAAGGACCTCTTCAAGGAGAACTACAAGCCACTGCTCAAGGAAATAAGAGAGGACACAAGCAGATGGAAAAACATCCCATGCCACTAATCATTGTTAATGAGGTGTCGCTACTTCCAGCCCTATAAGTGGCCAGAGCTAGCAAATACATTTATGTAAATATGTGATATATATATAAAACATGTACAAATATACATGTGTGTATATAGACATGTTTGTGTCTGTATTTCTATGACATATATAAATGTATATTATTAGATATATTAAAAAATAAAATCTTTTTCTCTCTCTGTGTGTATGTGTGTGGGTATATATATACCCATACTGTATATATATATATATATATATATACAGTGATTCATGTGATACATTCTGTTCCAATGCAACATTGTAGGTTTTATGCTAAAATCACAATATTATTTAGTTCAATTATTGGAAACGACAAGTAGTATCACATCCCTTCCTTTAAAATACTTGGCTTTGTTGTAATCGTCATAACCATTTTCCTCCTTTGCATGAGAAATTCCTGACTTCATTCATGCATTTGTCCGACAGCCCTCTTTTCTGGAGTTAATGCTTCCTTCAGAATTAACAGCATGTAGCTTTTCTTTCTCCTTATTTCTGATGACCTGTTTTGAAATTTTCATGGAACTCCTATTTTCTCCCTTTCCGTATTTGTAACGCCCTGCCCCGTCTCATCTACACAGCAGGGCAACTCAGCATGGGAATTCAGAGGCAGAGCTCTGAAGCGGGAAAATTGACTCCCGGCCTTTTCCTGTGCTTACCTGTTTGATCCGTCATCCTATATGCAGCCAATCTCTGAGCTCCACCACCGCTGCCCATCCATGCGGGGACCCCCTTTGCTCTGTGTTTGCACTCTGACTCCCTGTTCTAGGCAGCCACTCTGTGTGGACACCCTCCCCACCCAGCTCAGGCTCCGACTTCCTACGCTGTGTTGCCTGCCTGTCTAGATGTCCTTCTGACCACACTTGTTCCCCAAGGACCACCCACCTCTGCCTGCTCTGGCTTTGATTTTCCACCCTGGGTATCTCTCATCGGGGTGCTCTCCTGCCCTGCGTGGTTGGGCTCTGACTCTCCATGCCAGGCCACCCCCCCCCATCCTATTGATGCCCTCTTTATCCTGCCTGGGTTCTGACATCTCATGCTGGATACCCCTCTTGTCAATGTCCTCTTGACTGCACTGGGACTCTGACGCATACTCCGGGCCACTGCCCCTGTCTACCCACGGCACAGATGCCTGCCTTGCTCTTTTTTAGCTAATGACTTTAGAACTGAAATGTTCAGGAAGAGAAGGCCTCAACTGGATTGTTTAAACTATGAAGAAATGGAAGCCCCATGGTTTGCACAGAGTCACCGAGCAAATGAATGGCAGCCTCTGTACAAATCCAGGTCTCCCTGAGTCTGAGCTGGGTGAAGACAGGGACCTTGTCTCTTGTTCACTGTTTTATCCGCAGTGCCTGGTACAATGTCTGCACTGAGCAGAATGAAAGAATAAATGAATTACTTCCTATTTAACTCTTTTCCATTTCTTCTTTGTCATCTTGTTGTGTGTGTGTATAAATACTGGTGACTCTACACATTTGTCTATTATCAGTAGTGATTCATGCCTTTTCAAAAATGTCAACATCTTAATTTCCCTGCCTAGGAATTTCTTCCATTTCATGAATTTCTGGTTGAATAGATGGCAAGCCTTATAAACCTTGTCATGTGGTTAAGGACATGGAAGCCCTAAGAAGCAGCAGACATGACAGCATCCCGGGACTCCAGGACTTCCACCCACCGTGGAATAGAGGATGTGTGATCACCACCCAAGTTAGTTTTCTAGTCACTAGTCCACAATCCCTTCAAAAGATTCAGAATGCTACCAGAGAAAAACACCATCACCAGACGGCAGATGTGAGACCCACGGTCCGTTCCTTCAGCCACGCTGTTCAACTAAGACCATTCTGCAGATGATCTCACAGGGCAGTGCTTCTAAAGCATACTCTGAAGAACCCTGACTCTTGAGAGATCCTTCTAGAGAAGAGGATTCTGCGGTCAAATAACATGGAGAACTTATTTACATATGTGTCTTCTCTAGCAATTCACAATGGACACGAGCATCTTGAAGCCTCTAAGAAATACTAGAGCGGAGAAAACTGTAACTTTGTGTAACCTGGCGCTATGCAAAATTACTTAACTGTGGAACTCCTGTGTAGAATAATGCCAGGCTCAGTCTCATTTCCTCATTTATGAAAAGGGCAAACACACTATGTTACCTGGGGCTTTTACACAGAGTGAATGATACAAACAAATGTAAAGTATATGGCATCATCCTTGGTATACCCTGGGCAAATGATAGGTGTTAATTCCTTTTCATAGATTTATTATTTATTGAAAACCATTGCTATTGGAAAAGTTATACATATTTATTTATAATAATAGAAAAAATACACGAGGTTAAAACTTCAAACCATAAAAGGGTTATAAAATTTAAAAACTCTCTCCTACCTCAGATTCCTCAGATTCCCAAGAGGAATTTTTTTCATGTACCTTTCCAGACATTTTCTGTGCGTGTATATGCAGACATATTGAAACAGATTTTTTAAAACCCGTTCCCAGGAAATGAGGTAATGGGTTTGCATTCATTTATTTTATATTTCTGCAGCGGTACTTCTAAGTTACCACAATATGTTTTTCTGAAATTCTTGGGAGGCGTAAAGTTAGGGCCTTATGTTTATAGCAAAACATTTGTAAAGCGAATGGCACAGAGAATCGGAAAAAATCCATAGCTGTTTGGGGGTTAACGAATGATCAGTTTAAGTGTGAAACCTTTTTTTGGTAAAGCCTTGCTTAATACTTCCTGAAGGAATTAACGGGCTGGTCTATACTGTATTAAAGGGCTAATACATAGATTTCCAATTTATGATGGTTTGTTCACCATGGTGCAAAAGCATATGCATTCAGTAGAAACCATATTTAGGGTACCCATATAACCATTCTGCTTTTCACTTTCACTATAGTATTCAATATATCCCATGGGATAGTCAACACTTTGTTATAAAATAGATTTTGTAATTAGATGACTTTGCCCAATTTTATGCTGTCGTAATTGTTTTAGGCACATTTAAGGTAGGCGAGCCTAAGCTAGGATGTTCAGCAGGTTAGGTGTTTTAAGTGCATTTTGACTTAAGATATTTTTTAACTTGAGGTGGATTTATTGGGATGTAATCTCATTGTAAGTCAAGGAGCATCTGCACTCTAATAACTAAATTTGACAACGTTTCATTTTAACAGTTATGACTTGTCTTACAGGTAGCTATAGCTAGGTATGTCACCCCTGAGAAAATGAGTTCTTTGAGGACCCTGTTCATGTCTTGTACCAGTTTGGGTACATTAAAGGAATTTAATATGGATTTGATGAACCGAGGGATCATCCAGATGATCGGTTCTCTCCACCAGCACCAAACTGTGGTTGAGGATGTGAATGCTCATTTATTTGTTCTTTCAGGTAAGGGTGGAGGATAGGAAAGGAGAAGACACCAGTTTGTAGCTACTCTGATGAGGTGTTAGTTTCCCAGAGCTGCTCTAAGAAAGTATCACACACTGGGGACTCTCTTTGGCTTGTGGATGGCCATCTTCTCTCTCTGTCTCTTCAGATCATCGTTCTCTATGCCTATCTGTGTTCAGATTTCCTCTTCATATAAGGACACCTGCCATACTGATTAGTGACCACCCTCATGACCTCATTTTAACTTGGTCACCTCTGTCATAACCGTATCTCCATATAAAGCCGCATTCTGAGGTGCTGAAGGTCAGGACTCCAACATATGAATTTTGGGGGGGACGCAGTTCAGCTCATAGCAGATGGGTTATCTTGCTGGGCGTTAGTGCCTTTCAAGACCCACCCCGTGCCAGCATGCCCACTCACCCCAACTGCAGCTGTCAAAATGCAGCCTCCTTGAAGAAATGCAAGCACTAGAATCACGTGTGGTGATTGCCGTCTATCCTCTTGCTGACAGCCTCGTTCATTTCCCAGAGGGTGTCTTTGTGTGGCCCGAAGCACCTGCCAGTCTATCTCTGCCGTATGCTCCTGAGACAAAAACCCAGGAAGCCGAGCCATAGATGACCGCTGGCATCCACGGCCTTGGTGACTTCCTCTTTGGTTTCTTCTGTTTCGTTCACTTCCTTCATTCTGTGGCTTGTCTGGACAGTCGCTCTTTGACCCTTGCAGCTAGTCCCTCCCCTTCTTCTTTATTGCCCCGAGTTATCTCCCTCGTCTCATAACTCTAATCACTTTTTTCACATTCTCCTTCAGTGAAGGATGAGGAAATCGCAAGCCGAGTATGCACCTTTCATTAGGAGATTCAAACTGCATCTTGGTGGATTACCCTCAGAAGTCGTAACGTATAAAGTCTGATGGCTCGCTAATGGGAGGACTTCTTTTTTCTGTTTAGAATACATTCCAATTCAACTTATTAGCTCGAGAAGAAACGAAGCTAGTTGTTTCTCACCCAGGAGTGGATGTGTGGTTGGCCTTGCCATGGTTTCCTGCCGTGCCTGGAACCTCAGGGTGCTGGTGGCTGTCGTGTGTGGGCTACTGACTGGCATCGTTTTGGGACTGGGCATCTGGAGGATTGTGGTCAGGATCCGTAGAGGTAATGTTGTCCTGCTATGTTTAACTCAGAGCAAGAGAAGGCATGGGGTCTCTGTCCCTGCCACCTGATGCACCAGTACTGGGAGGTACCTTGTCCAGTCTGAGGCATCCCCCCAAGGTGCTATTTATGGGATAGAAAAGACCAAGTCAGTTGAGCCTAGCAGATGGTGGAATAGAAATGAATATGTGTGAGTGTGAATGGGCAGGGGGAAGAGTGACATAACTGAACTGGCCTCTTTCTCTTTTAACTCCAGACTGAATTGGTAGCAGAGTAATAATTAAAACAATTGGTAACACACATTTCGGTCTGTTTGGCTAAATTTGGGAAAAGGGTAAACCGTTACGAAGAGGGACACACGCATGCATCCAACACACACACACATGTGCATAGCACACACACAGACACGCACAGAATGGCATTTCATTTTAAGAGAGAAGTTTAAGAAGGTCATCACTAAGGTTTAAGTGAAATGATCTCAGGGTTTGCACACAAATTTCCCACTTGCCAGATGTAGGAAACTAATCAACAGTTTAAAAACCATTTTTAAAATGACTCCTGATTTTTCAACAAATATTTGAATATTTGTGTGCCACAGCGGGCCTGGGGAGGGAGGGTGTAGGAGGGGAGGTAGTGTGTAAAACAGCGTTAGAGGAAAGCCCGCTGGAACTCAGAACGGAGCATTTCAATAATCCTAATGCTGGATCCCTTGGGCTGTAGAGCATCTCCATCAGGAAATTCGGAGTTGGGTGTGCTACATACTCTTTTTCGTAAAAATCAGAGGAAGCTTCTAATGAAACAATAAACATAATGCCAATCAGGAAAGGCAGCAGGAGAGGGAGTATGCCCTCTGGGCAGGTAATTGGGGAGGTGAGAAGGTTGGGGGGCTAGCAGGGGGGTGGAGCGTGGCTGCGAAGATTCACTGCTGAAGACCACCAGAGGGGCCTGACGTATTTGCTGCTGATGGAGGGGTACTGAGGATGGATCTGTCCTCCCTCTTCCCCACTGCCCTAACCAGTATTTACAGAATACTGTTTCAATAGTATTTAGAGAACTAGACTGAGAAAATTTACCAGAACAAAAATAGTAAAATTTAAACTTGGAGCAAATGTGTTTTTGTTTGTTTAAGGTTGTAAAATAGTTTAATTCAGGTTAAAAAATTCCGAACTATGGATTTCACCCCATTAAGGCTGCCAGATCTGTAAGACCTCATCTAAAGGGCGTTCTTCACAGAGTTTTTCCTTCCTGTCTTCCTTCCCTCCGCCCCTTCCTTCCTTTTTTCCTTTATGTAAGTGACATCTCCTTTTAAAAGGAAATTTAAGGTGACTTATAAAGGACACAGTTATAACGAAACCATTAAAAACAAGGACCAAAGTACAAAAACAACATAAGAAAGAGTGCAGGGTGGGGCCACAAAACATGAAAGTTCAAGGCTTAGCGGGAGTTGCTTAAAATAAATTGAAAATATATTCCTGAACTCTCTGAGAGCTAAGATCCAAAATAAAGCATAGTAAGTAATAAAGATCCCATGTCTAACAGTCGAGGCATATAAGCTCCTCAAAAAGACAATCTTTTCTCTTTTTCTGAGTAGCATTTTTCAATTGGCTGTTTATGTAAGGGAATCTCTCAGCTTTGGGGTAAGCCCAGTGGAGAAGGAGAGGATTATCACTATCATTTAAAGGAAAAGATTGAAAGAATGGCACTGGTTGCTGTTCCTATTTTGCCTTGTACATTTTATTGACAGTGCGTTTGTTAGTAAATTGTTTCGTTTCACTCCACTTCACTCTATTTCTTTTTATCCTATCCCATCCCATCCTATGTAATTGTTGAATGTTCTTGCTTTGGTCCCTTTACTCAGGTATAGACATAAATAGTTTTTACATTTATGTCATTTATTTATTTATTTTTGAGATGAAGTCTCACTCTATTGCCCAGGCTGGAGTGCAGTGGCGCGATCTCGGCTCACTGCAACCTCCACCTCCCAGGTTCAGGCAATTCTCCTGCCTCAGCCTCCTGTGTAGCTGGGATTACAGGCGTGTGCCACCACGCCCAACTGATTTTTGTATTTTTAGTAGAGACGAGGTTTCACCATGTTGGTCAGGCTGATCTCGAACTCCTGACCTCCTGATCCACCTGCCTCGGCCTCCCAAAGTGCTGGGATTACAGGCGTGAGCCACTGTGCCTGGCCACATTTATTTTTGTAAGGGAGAGAGAGGTCACACATATCTCTGAGAAACTGATGAAAGGTATAAATGTCTTAGTAGGGAAAATAGACATAAACACACACAATTTTGCATAAATTAATTTAATGCATTCAAAATTTATTTTGTCAATATTATAAATAGAGCATATAAATTAAGTCTCTCACATTTATTTTTTTGAAAAAATAATGGCCTCATTGTGAAAAATAGAAACAAATTTCAAATTCTGCTGAGTAAATTTCAATAAGAAGTTTCTCTGATCTGGGAGTAACCACTGATGTACAACAATATGTATGCTATTTATTTATACATTTGATTATTATAACACCTATAGTTTCAAAAATTCTTACTATGATCTAGGTACCAAGCTAAAAACTTAGAGCAAATCCCAGTTTTGTCAGAAGCCCAGCGTTTTCATATTGGGCATTCTTCATAGGAAACACAAGGAGTACAGCTTTTGGGCCCCTTCGCTCGTGATGATGAAAGTAAAATGAACACACAATTCAGCTTTATTATATTTCTTTCCATCGACATTTTCCAACTGGTGCTAAGCCTGATATAATCATAGACAGATGTCCATGATCATAATGGTAGAAGATGTTTTATTTAACTCCTCTCAAAATGAGAGTATCTTAATCTCAAAACACCTGAACAGTGCCTTACTTGACCATATTCTACACCTCTCCTAGCTCGTAGGATTTCCTGCTGTTTATCATCCGGACTGTTTTTTTATTTACCCGCACTTCTCTCCAGATATTCTAACCTCATTCTCTACCACGGGGTACCCCTGTTCCCCAGTCCTACAAGAGACTTAAGGATGTGGAAATATTCCCAATACCCAAGGTCTGACTTCATAGCATTGATAATTGTGATTTTATTTTATTTTTTGAGATGGAGTCTAGCTCTGTCCGCAGGCTGGAATGTGATGGCCTGATCTCGGCTCACTGCAACCTCCGCTGCTTGGGTTCAAGTAGTTTGTCTTAATCCTGGTATTGAAAATATCTCTTCTGCTCCTTAACCTGCTTCCCTTCCTGCTTGTTGGGACTACAGGCGCCTGCCACCACACCCAACTGATTTGTGTATTTTTAGTAGAGATGGGGTTTCACCGTGTTGGCCAGGCTAGTCTCGAACTATTGACCTCGAGCAGCCTCAGCCTCCCAAAGTGCTGGGATTACAGGCGTGAGCCACTGTGCCTGGCCTGATAATTCTTACACAGTGGAAAATATGGGTTGTTGTGAAAGGTCAATGAGGGTTTATTGTTTGTCAAAAAATAATCTGACCATAGATACTTGGCTTTAATTTCACTCAATTACAGTACTTCTTCCAGAGGCAAACTCAATAAATCTAACTCATGTGACTGTTCCTGGAGGATACTTGCATTTGGGTTAACAAAAAAAAAAAAAAAAAAAAAAAAAAAAAAAGAGTCCAGAGCAGTGTTTTCTGGAGGGAGAATGTTGGGTTTTAGGCAGCTGTAGTGTTCTTTTGTCTTAATCCTGGTGTTGTAAATGTCTCTTCTGCTCCTTAACCAGTTTCCCTTCTTGCTTCCTCACATAATCACCCCCTAAATTTAAAAAAAAAAGTCTATGAAAGGGAAGGGTTTTTAAAATAAATTTATTCCAATTTGGCTATGTAATGGATTGAGGGGCATGGATTATTTTAACATCAGAATCACTGATGTTTAAAGTGTCGATTCCATTTTAAAAGTCATTTTCTTAAACTAAGGGGCTAGAATCTTGGCTTAGTGGATTATTCCTGGATTTCCAGGTATTAAATATTTTTACCTGAAAGTCTGGATATGTCCCCCACGTGTGGTTCTTCGCAGACACACATATTGAAGATCTAACATGGAATACACTGTTGAAAGCGGGTACTTGAGAATATAGCGGAAAATGTAACAGACGAGGGGAAAGAAAACTCCGGAGCCAGACTGCTTGAATTTAGATCTCAGTGACGCCGCTCACCAGCTTTGAGCAAATGATTAACTTTGAGCAAATTATTCATTTCTGAGTCTCAGTTTTCTAACCTATTATAGGCATAATTGTAAACCCTGTCTTATAGGGCTGATATGAGGCTTAAATGAGTCAATATATAAAAAGTTTAAGATGATGTCTAGTAGCTTGTAAGTACTCAATAATTGTTGGCTACTATCCTTTAGGTATTTTTAGGTAATTCAGTGCAGACCATATTTTCTCCCCTCCCTGATTTATACCTTGAATAGATACCATTGACCTAGATTGGACCTTTGGATCGAGACTCAAATTAGCAATCCAAAAATTTACAATAGGTTTAATCATTAAGTTCAATTGACTAGCTCAAAACAGAAACAGAAACAGTTCTAAGAACTGCCATATCTTCCTGCGTTTGCCTTTCAATACCTATGCTACACCACACCATTAGGGGAAATGTTTATTAAAGTATTTAGCCATGCGTATATTTTAAAGTATAATAAGAATTCAAAGTATTATACTTCTTATTTCAAAGTATAATAAGAATTAACAAAGGAAAAAATATTTAACCAGTTTATTGAAATGTTAACCAGGTAGTTAATACTGGACAAACTTTACCTTAAATAAAGATTATACTTTATGTATTTTTTTTTTTTTTTTTTTTTTTTGAGACAGAGTTTCGCTCTTGTTACCCAGGCTGGAGTGCAATGGCGCGATCTCGGCTCACCGCAACCTCTGCCTCCTGGGTTCAGGCAATTCTCCTGCCTCAGCCTCCTGAGTAGCTGGGATTACAGGCACGCACCACCATGCCCAGCTAATGTTTTGTATTTTTAGTAGAGACAGGGTTTCACCATGT